TCGGCCCCCACCCAGCTCTACCCTGCACCCTCACAGGTCCACGAGGAGCACGGAGTCCCCCCAGTGGCGGTAGTGGGCCAGTTCTATCAGGTACTGGGGGTCTGCGGTCGGCAGCTCCAGGGAGTCCACGATGTGCAGGTTGTCCTGGGGGGCGGGGAGGATGGTGTGAGCCCCTGATTGCTGCCCAGCCTCCTCCCCAAGGACCCCGGCAGCGCCAGGCATGATGGGGGCTGTACCTGGGCCAGCTTGACAGTCAGCACCACCTTGAGCCCCTGCACCCGCACTTTCATGGGCAGCATGTAGTAGCTCGTGGGGCCCCGGAGGCCATGGGCAACGCCTCCTGAGGGGACAGAGGTGTGCACAGGTGAGGGGCTGGGCTGGGAGGTCAGAAATTTGCTCCAGTGATTGTGTGCACAAGCTGCCAGCAGACACACTGAATTCCAGCAAAGAGGGCAGGGCCTTGGTATGGATGGAGAGGGAAGGCTGGATCAGACATCACCTGGGACAGGTGACTTCACTCACTGGGCCTGTTTCCTCAGCCACTGAAACCCTGTGTGAGGGCCATCTACCCATGTGTCCACTCCCTGTGGGGCCCTGGGAGTAGAGCAGGGAACAAAATGGACAGGATCCTGGCCCTCAAACCATTCGTATTCAGAGGCTTGACTGCTGAGGTAATCACGGCTATGTGGGGCAGCACAAGGGGGTACAGGGGCAGGGGGACCCAAGGGAGGTCGAGGAGGAGGCATGGCCCAAACACATCAGAGAGGCGATGGGAGTTGGTCAGGCAAATGGCAGATGACTGGGCGAGCTCTGTCTGGTCAGAGAGGGTGTGGAGGGGACAAAGGAGAGAGGATCTGCAGCCTGGAATGCCAAGTAAATAGCTCAGACTTCATGCAAAGATGACAGGAATGGAGAAGTTTAGGAAAATCCCTCCAGGTGCTATGGGAAGTGGGGGCCAGGAGAGGTGAGATGGGAGGGAGGGCCACAGGGGCTGTGTCCACAGTCTGATGGCAGAGGCCAAGACTAGAGCGGGGGTGGGGAAGTGGAGGCTCCCAGATCCGACCCACATGGGTGGGGAGGTGTGTGGGCCTGAGTCCTACCACCCCTGCCAAGGTGGAGGGAATGGGGCTCATGAGACTTCTCACTGGGTGTGTGTGAACAGACACCAAGACCTCCATTAATGCGGAGCCCCCTACCTGCACTGTCTCACTTACCTCCTCACCAGATCGGGGAGCGGATGCTGCCATGTCTCGCACGCCCACTACCTTTCTGCAGCTAGGGCTTCCGGCCACCACCCTGCACCTCGGCCCTAGTCTTGGTCTTGGCATAGCTCTGTGGACACAAAGTGAGGAGAGGGTCAGGTGCATGAGGCCGATGGCACTGTGGCCCAAAGGCACCAGGCCCAGGAATACAGCAGTGAGCTGGGCAGACTGGGCCTGCCACTACGGGGCCCGATGTGGGGCACAAAGACGGGGGCTCTGCTGAACAAGCCAGAGCATTCTGGGAGGGAGGGAGGGAAGGAGAAATAAATCAAGTATTTCTTCCTCCCCTCCAAAAGCTGGCCTTAAAGGCAGGAGCTGTGTACCTGGCACGCAGTGAGGGCTATTTTTCAAATGATTTTAGTGTGGCTGCATCTGAGAGGAAGGGGAGTTGAGGGGAGAGTCGTAGCTAGAATCAGGAAGAGGTGTGGGGCTGGGGGCTTCTGATGGCAGGTTTATTTCACTCCTACTTCATTCCTCGGGTGATGGGGAGCCAGGGAGGATGTGAGCAGGGATAGTGACCTCAGTGCTGTATGCCCAACACCTCGAATGGAACCTGGCACATGATAGGTGCCTTGTAAGTATTTACAGAATAAACAAAATACATTGTGTTTGTAACTTTTTTTGGCACCCTCTACTAGACTGGGACTCCACAAAGGCAGGGGGCAAACCATACAAATAACTGGATGGACTTCTGAAGGGGGCAGAGGGAAGGCAGAGAAGCCCTGATCAGTAATGGCCTCTTCCATGCTCTTGGCCTAAAATGCAAACTCCTCACCACTGCTGACCTCTATGGCCACACTGGGCTCCTCCTGGTCCCTGCCCCAGTCCTCTGCATGTGCTGTTCTCACTACCTCCACCCCAGGCCCTCTGCCCCCTTTACCTAATTAGTTCCTATTGCACACCTGTGGTTAAATGCCCCTTTCTCTGGGAAGCTTCCCTGATTATACATCTCCACGAGTGACTACTTGATTCACCTTCACCACTCCAACTAGATGGTGAACTTGGTAAGGGCAGGAATCTTGTCTGCTAGCACAATGCCCAGTGCAGGAGGGTTGTTCAGGAAATGCCTGGCAAGTGACTCGTTAGCCAACGGTTCAGGAGAATGCACCCAGTCATCTGGAGAAGACACACTGAGGGGCTTGCTTGGCCTCTGTACTCCCACCTCACCCCCCTAGGGCACTAACAATTCTCTTGAAGTTCTACTGCCAGACAGCAACCTGGTGCAGGATATCCAGCCTGTGGAGGAAGAAGGCAACATGAGGCCCACATCCACTTAAGCTCTCCACACTCCAAAAGATCTAAACTCGTGCTCCTTCCATCCACTTCCAGGGCCCTGTGTGCCCTGCCCCTGCCCCTCTCTGACCCCATCTCATACCACCTCCAGCCCCACTCCATTTCCATTCTGTGAAACGGGCTCCAGCCTCCATACATATGTGCTCACTATTCCCTCTGCCTGAAACACTGTTCCCCTCGCTTGTTCCTTCTCAGCCTGCAGGTCTCAGGCCAAATATCTCAGAGAGAGGCCCCTTCCTCCTTTCCACAGTACCTTACTTCTTCCCTAGCATTACAACTCACTGGTTGCAAACTTCCTCCTGGTTTTACCTCCCTATCCCTGTGCTGTCCCCTACAGCAGACACTGGCCACATGTTAAAGTTACAGCATTTCAGATACATCAGGTTAAACAAAATATACTACTGAAATCAATCTCATTTGTTTCTTTCTACTTAAAAAAAAAAACACGTGGCTTAGAGAAAAATGTAAATGAACACATGTGGCTCACATTATGTGGCTACACTGGACACGGCTGCCAGGCGTTGGCAAGCGGTCTAGCAGGCCAAATCTGGCCAGCTGCCTGTTTTTGTAAACATATTTTACTGGAACACAGCCATGCTCATTCACTTACAAATTGTCTGTGGCTGCTTTTGCACTACACGGGCAGACGTGAGTAATTGCCATGGAGATGTAGCCTGCAAAACCTAAAATACTTTCTTTCTAGCCCTTTATAGAGTTTGCTGACTCCTGCTCTAGACTGTAAGCAACATCAGTGACCTCAATGCTGTATGCCCAACACCTCGAATGGAACCTGGCACATGACAGGTGCCTTGTAAGTATTTACAGAATAAACAAAATACACTGTGTTTGGAACTTTTTTGGCACCCTCTACTAGACTGGGACTCTGCAAAGGCAGGGGGAAAACCATACAAATAATAGTAATAGTGCTAAACTAAGTATCAAAGTGCTATACATGGTTGGCAAGTGATAACCCGGTCCTGGGAGTTAGCCCACAGAAGTTTGAGATCCTGGCTCTAAACCATGCAAGCTGTGTGACCTTGGGCAAATTTCTTAAGCTGTCTGTGCTCAGTTTCCTTATACACAAAGTAAGGATAGCAGAACCCCTTCCTAGGGTTGCTACGAGGATCTAGTTAACTCAAAGGCAAATAAAATAGGCTGTGCCAGGCATATAGTAAGGACTTCATCGTTAGTGGTCATTTTTGCAAAAACCATTAACAGTAACGATAATCAACATTTCTATAGAACTTCCTATGTGCCAGAATTAACTGATTTAATCTCTTAAGTTTTGACAAGAATGGAGACACCGTAGGGCAAACGGAGGACGGCAGGATTTGAATCCAGCTACTCTGGCTCCACAGTTCTGCTTGCTTAACACCTACAGGATGTTACCTCTCAGCTCTCAACCTCACAGAACTCCGCAAAGACCATCATCCTCTTTTGACAGGTGGAGAAACTGAGGCTGGAGCCCAGATCATCCTGATTCCTACCACCCACCCCTCCGTTCCTCGGCCACCCAGTTCCTCTTTTCAGCTTCCTCTCACCTGGGCGCTGTAGAGAAAACTTCGGGGTGCAGCTCGGCTAGACCCACGCGCTCTTGCTCGTAGCCCCGCAGGGACTCTATCCAGGATTGTACCGGATGCCGGTGCGGGGATACCGGGAGCTCGCACCTGCGCAGCACAGGCGCCTGGGGAACTAAAGCGATTGGGAGGTCAAGGGTCATAATTCCCCGTCGCCTGCCCTACTGGGCGACCCTGGCAACCTCACGCGCGCTCATCACCGGCTCTGGCTTCTCCGCCGGCTGCACCGCCTCTTCCGCCAGTGCGTTCAGGCTCTGTAAACGGTGGGCGGGAGTAAGAGACAACCCCCGGTCCCTCCGGCCTTTGTCCTCCGACCCCGCGCCCAGACCCCGGCCTCACCCGGCAGCCGGGCTGCCGCAGTCAGCCCCGCGCCCCTGCCCGAACTAGCTGCAGCATCTCCGCGCAGCTTTCCACGCCGAGAGGTCAGAGCTCCCTCCAGACGCGCGGGACGCCTCGCGATGACATCATGCTCGCGACACCGCCCGCCCCGCTTGGATTCGATGTTGGAAAGCGGGGCATGCAAGAACGAGGGTGTTGGGGCCGGGCCCAGTGTGCCCCCACCTCCGCCCCAGCACTACCCGGCCAGACCACAGTTTTCACGCTTGGCCTAAAGGGCCGGACATGACCACTCCACAACGCACACCCACAGCAAAAAGCCCCGCCCCCTCCGTACGTTTTGTCCTTCTGAGGACCGCCCCAAAGAGCTGGTGAGGGAATTTAGCCAATGAGAGCTCTCCTGCCCTCGTTCAGCCAATGAGCGTGCTAAGTCTGGAGGAGTGGCCCACCCATGGCTGGGAGGTTCTGGGGCGGGCACCTAAGGGAATGTGACCAGTAACTGTCGCTCTGTGGCTGGCGGTCTCGCCCTCCAGGCTCCGCCCCCTCCTGGCCTCCGAGACGTTTTGGCGTTGGTTTTTCTGTGCCCGTCAGCGTGTTTTTGCCTATTTGCTTGTTTGCTTAACTATAGGGCCTTAGCTCCCAGAGAAAGCCTCAGGAATGCGCTTGTCGGACAGTGCCTCTCCTCGTAGATCCTCCGGGCAGGTCTGTGTCCCCCTCTGACCTTTCGGGTTAGGTCTGTGTTACCCCCACCGCCACCTCCTAAGCCAGGGTCCTGTCCCCTGCCAGGGCTCTCCGAGAATAGTGGGGAGCAAAGTGGGAGTCCACAGATCCTGGATTGCCTCCCTTGTTGCCTATCCTCAAAAGAAATCCAAAGGCTCATTAGGTTCTTTGCCACACTTCCCGCAGGACCTCCAGGGGACGCCACGAATCCATAGCAGCCTTCCCTGCCGGGCCAGGCCTACCCACCTCGACCCAGCTTGGGGGCCCAGCAAACATGGTCTCGGAGTTAACTGTTTTCCTCATCTGGAAAATGAGGAAGTCAGAAGGCTTCGAGGCAACGATGGAAGCAAAGCATGGTATAGCACAAGGTGAAAACTTACCAAGTAGCATTGTTGTTGTTGTTGTTGTTATTATTATTATTA